TTGCCGATGCTCTTTCACGTATCCAGACGAATGCAGTTACCTTACCGGTGCTCGATCTTCCTGCTATGGCCGCCGCGCAAGCAAACGATCCTGTCTGTACAGAAGCACCACAATCTTCGTCCCTTCAGTGTCAGGAAGTACCCCTAGCTACTAGCTCAGGTACTATCCTATGTGATATTTCTACCGGTCCTCCTCGACCCATCGTACCCTCTGCCTATCGCCGTCTCGTCTTCGATGCCCTTCATGGATTGTCTCATCCAGGTATCGCAGCCACCTTACGTCTCATTGCTGTACGATACGTCTGGCCGTCCATGAATAAAGATGTTCGTATGTGGGTAAAGCAATGCTTACAGTGTCAACGATCAAAAGTGAACAGGCACGTAGCTGCCCCCATTGGCACGTTCGCTACGCCTGATGCTCGCTTTGATCACGTTCATATAGACATTGTAGGACCATTGCCACCATCGCATGGGTATGATCACATACTCACGTGCATTGACCGTTCTACAAGATGGCCCGAACCTATTCCCACCACGTCTATCACGGCGGAGACAGTTGCTCACCGCTTCGTAGAACGATGGATTGCATTGTACGGTTGTCCCTCGACTGTCACGACTGACCGAGGACAACAATTCGAGTCCGCATTATTCTCCTCACTGACCAGGCTGCTTGGTACGGAACGCATACGCACTACCGCCTACCATCCAGCATCGAATGGTTTAGTCGAAAGGTTTCATCGCCAACTTAAAAGTGCTCTTCGAGCACACGAAAACGACAATTGGTACGAAACCTTACCGCTCGTTTTCTTAGGCATCAGAACGAGTTTGAAGGCAGATATTCAATGTTCCGCCGCTGAACTTGTTTCCGGCATGACATTGCGTCTGCCTGGGGAATTCTTCACACCACGGAGCAGTAATGATTTCGGTAAATCAGACTACGTCCATCGACTGTCTGCATTTATGCGAACGCTGTCTCCGGTGTCGACTCGAATACAACATCGACAGGTCGCTCTCCCCCGAGAGTTATCTACCTGTTCACATGTTTTCATACGAGTAAATTCAGTACGCAAACCTTTGCAACAGCCTTACGAAGGCCCTTTTCACGTGATCTCTCGCCACGAAAAGACCTTCAAGGTTGATCGACACGGCCGCGTCGAGATCGTCAGCATTGTTCGTCAATTTTGGGAAAAGCTGGTTTGGCCACCCATGCTCTAGTCAACGCACACAGTCGATTATCCGGTCTCGAATTCGCCTGGCATACGCTTGGTCGTTATGGTCGCTTCCGGTTTCTTGGCTCAACGTGGTTTCGTCCTACGTCTGCAGCGTTTTCTAGTCCACATCCCTACGAACGCAATCTTCGGATCCTGGATACAAACCCATCTGGTGTGGAATGCTAACTCGACCAACAAATACAGCACACTTCTCCTGGTACCGTTCTGCTCAAAAGACTTTCGTTGGCAACCCGAGGATCAACGATCACTTCCTGTTCCGCCAATTTCCTCCGTCCTACAACCGCACTTCTTCCGATCAGTCTCACGAATCAAACCACTAACTATTGAAAGTGTAAACCCTTTCTAGCGGGGGGCTCCTGTAGTGACCTACTTTTGTCTACAGAACGCAATTGGTTCAATGAAAACAATTATTATTATAACCAATTGTGCCAGTGACTGTTTTACTGTGCTCGTTTGTTTAACTGTGCTAATGACAGCCATTATACTTACTCTCTCGTTGACTTTGAACTTGTACGAATCCGGTTACGCTCAGTAACCACACTTGTACTGCTTTGGCACGATCTCGGTATTCTTTCGATACCACGAGGTCGCCAACAAATACATCTCGACTACAGCCATCATCTGCCTTCTGATTTTTGGCCTACCGGAATCTTATTGGTCTATTGGCACATAGTCTTGTAGCGGTGTTCATAGTCAAGTTCAACTCGACACCACGCTACAGATTAACCCAGTATTGAAAGGTGGATTTGTAAAAGTCCAAAATTAATTGAAGCCAAATACGTAGCATTCCCTGAGGAACAGTCTAAACGAGATCTGAGATTGCAGGAAATCTATGGTTCAAACTCACCGTAAATTTTTAGCATTTGCATCCTATTTGGCCATGAAACTCAGCAATTGAAAATTAGGCAGGCAGTGATCAGAAGAAAAAATATGTTCAGAACGCTGCTGAAGGCGGTAGGTGAACTATCGAACGCTTACCCATGGGTGTCACTGACAGGCGTACGGAGCCCTTAGACACGGCAGCTATAGCATTCCCATTAAGAACGCATGAGGACTTGCGTTCTTTAGAAGCTGCGTTAGATAACATCCAGTTCCGGGATTACTTCGCTAGTTGTTACAGGTATTTGAACAAATTGTAGGTGGGAAGATTAAACGCGTTCCTCTGTGACGATCCTCGGAAATCAGCGAAAACTTGTCTGAGTTACCTGCTTTCACCGGAACTGGCAGACAATTACGGTTTGCATGGAACTCACAAAAAATTGGGTATTAGTAAATACAAATTTTACTCAACCGTTCAAAGTAAGTACACACTATTGCATTAACACATTGATAGGTGTTCTGTGTTCCCATTTTCTAAGTGCGACCTGTACGGAAAAGGATTTGATACACGCCATGGGTACAGCAAGCCAGGCTTTCTTGCATGACGCAAGAGATGAAGTTAATAAACGCGGATGGCGATCCAAAGGAAAGGTTAGCCAAAGCAATAATACATATTGCACTTCGATTATTACTTTGCGATCAATGTTTATAGTGATAAAACTTGTCATATTCCTCTTGTTTTCAGCTGGCTTCACAGGCTTTATCTGACGTAACTGTAAGTTATTTGGTCGGATTACTGAAAGCATTGTCTAACTTTAAATAACGTCATCGGCGTTTCACATTTGTTCATATGTGATTGTAAACTAAAAATTCTTTTTTCATTTATTTAGAACCTACCAAACCATAAGTCAACTTCTGCTTAACGTGTAACAGAAACGGAACAATGAAAAACGTCATATTATTAAATAATCTGTGATATTTTATTAACTATAATAAATATTAAAATATTTCAATAACTGGTGTTTTAATGAAACCGATAAATGCATTGATGTTACCTGAGCTCCCAATTTTGGGAAAATTTTTACTTATTTTGGGGAAATGGCACAAAAATCCCAAAATTTCCCTAGACCTGGTGAAATTCCCTAAAAAATTTCCTCAAACGTTGGGGATTTCCTCAAAATTTCCACTGACCTTGGAGACGTTCCCCAAAATTGGGAGCTTGGGTAAGTTTATTTGGTTAAAAATTATCTTATATCACAGTAAGAAATGTACATAGGTATTCTCGCCAGCTTTTCCGTGATGTCTGGAGATTTTGGTATAGATTTCGCGTTTAAACGGTTAGGTAGAAGTACCCCAAAGTGTGGGGAAACTTTGGGGAAGAAATCCCCAAAGTTTGGGGAATTTCCGAAGGTCTGGGGAAATTTCGGGGGTTTTGTGCCATTTCCCCAAAGTTTATAATGGTGGCTTCCCCAAAATATGTGAAATTTTCCCCAAAATTGGGAGCTTGGGAAGATGATGGAGAACAAGCTTAGACTAGAGATAGAACAACATATTTAGTGTGAATAAAATATATAAGGGAACATTCAGCAGAGACCACGCCAGCATGGCCGAGCCTTGCCATCCGATCAACTCCAATTCGTCCAATTCATTATCCCCACTTTATCTATTCTTAGGTATTACTCCGCCTTAAATATTGAATATCTACTTTCCAAGTAGCCTCGTGTTCAGCTTTGAGGATTGTGTGGTTAGGGCTTAATGCCACTACACTAGTCTCACACCAGAATCAACGTGATGTTGGTTCGATACCAAATCGGGTGGGATTGTCGCGCGCCGGAAGTTACCAAGAATAATGAGATACAACCGGGCATTGATAAGCTGAAAGATAAATCAAAGAGGCGGCAGGATCAGGTCGGTAAATATATGTAATAATCTTAAAACGTATAGTTAGGGCCCAATGCCACTACAGACTCATCTAGCTGAAGGCGCTCGGTCATGCATCCGCACCAGATCACGAGTGGGAACGCCGTGCTCAACAACCCTTGCAATCACTAACCAGATTAGATCAGACGGCCCTCGATATATTGATAGCCTATCAAATGTATCTTCGAACCTTCTCGCTTCTGTCTTTTCATTTCACCTGGTGGGTACGATTCATATTAGGTGTCACTGGTGAAAGCATTGTCAAACCCCGAATACCTGTGGCATCTTCACTACCATTGGTTTATGGCGACCCACGTGATCATATGAGCCGTAATTAAACAAAATGTTCTGCCATACAAAGATGAGTGGATCGAAGTTACCTCCCCACCATCGTGTTTGCTGGTCAGTAACGCCACCCTCCCTCCTTTTGTGATGTTAGGCTCTCTTACGTTTTTGGTAAGTATGAATATTGCTTTAATTAAAGTCCATTGTTAAAATACACTCTCTCTTCTAGTTCCATGTTACAAGCATATCAAATGGGTAAAGCTTCTGTATTGTGGTTTAGACATCCGTTTAGTATTTCATACTCCTATAAAGATAACTAAAGATATAAGTTATAAGACACAGATTAGATTATATGTTGTTTAAAGATGGTAAGGTCGAGTAGCGAATCAAAGAATGTGCAGAAGTTGAAAGTTTCAGATTAAGAAAATAAAACTTTGAGCGATCCACAAGAATTTACGACATTATGAGCTTATGATCGCCCACAATTGATTGGTGAGTTATTACAAACGATACCCGTATATCCTAGTCCATAGCATAACCCAACATGACCAGTTAAAGTAGCGATTGTCAGTAGTCGTGGATTTGATACTTTCAATGCCTTCTCCTTAGCTTCACATAATAAATCAGTCATAACCATTCGACCTTCAGCATCAGTATTATTCACGCGAACCCGCACTCCAGCACGTGAAGTTACTATTTCATCACTTACATAAGCATTTTCCCCAATGCTGTTATGAACTAAACCTTAAGTACCATGTACCTTTACGTTTTTCGGTTTCAATAAGTTTAAAACTTTAAAAAATCCGGCCACAGCAGCTGTACCACATTTATCCCGATGCATCGTAGTCATAATACCTCCAACTTTAAGATCTGAGGCACCTGTATCATAGGTAACACCTTTACCAACTAAAAACAAATTGACTAATTGCTTAGGATCAATTTGTGATTCTGTAGATCCATTGTATTCTAAGTGCACAACGTGACCACGATGTCTTTTATTATTACCACGATCTACTATAGCTGCCAGAGGGTAAAGCCTTCGATCAACAGGACAATCAGTCACCTGAACAGGTTCCGTCAATTCTTTTTGAAGGTACGTCACTATATTCTTTGCACTCATACGTTCTGGGTCAGATCCACCTATATCACGTGCTACTCGTAAACCCTCTTCCAAACACCAGGCTAATCCAGTAAGTCTTTCGTGGTCTACTGCGTAGTGTACCCCAGAAAACCAACCCAGGACTTCAACTTTTTGTGACTGAATAGGTTTTGTGCATGTAAAGTCTTCCTGACGGTCAAACTCACGAACTTCGAGGGGCACATACAAAGCATGGAAGGCACCAAGCAAAGACGCCAAACAGGAAACGGATAGTTCAAGCCAAGAGTGTCCCAACTTTTTAGCCGTTTTCAATGGACCCAACAGAAGGAGCGGTCTTTTAGATCCGATTTTGATAGCTTGAGATATACCTTTCGTCGATGCCTCGGTTATCCGACGAGCATCATCAATGTCTTGATCAAGGTGACCAGTAAACAAAACGACTAAACGTTTAGATGGTAAAGAACGATAAGTCAGGGTGTGGAGATCTGAACAAAATTTCTGGTTCACCTGTGATGCTTCCTGTAACGTATCAAACAGAGGCGTAAACGACGATGCATCTGATACGTCTTCAACTACATGTACAACAGAATCGAAGTCCTGAGAACATAGATCTGACGTGACGACAGGCCGTATCGACTCGCGATGTGTCATAGCAGCGACGATTGACCTTGAACTTGTATTCCATCATGACGACTAAGCAAAGTATTAGAAATATTCATCGACTGGATATCAACTTCACTCACCGCCTCGTAGTTAATACACGCAGTTCCAGCATCTTGAAAGGAACAGTTGGGCATTCTTAACAGCTCTCTTTCCAAACCCGGTATGTTGATTCCTGCAATTAATCGATCTCTCAGTTGCACATGAAGTTGATCACCAAAATTACATTTGGCAGCTTGTTTCTGCAATTCAAGGATGAATTCCTTAACCTTTTGGTCATTTCGACGAGTCATCTTATGAAATTTTGCCCTTTCACGGCATTCAAAACTAGTGCACTTTACATGATTTAATAATAACTACTTAATTGTTGCATAAGGAAGTGAGATAGGTTTTTCTGGATATGCTAAAGTTTTCAATAAGCTGTATGCTTCCTTTCCGATGAATGTCAGGAAATGTGCCAAATTTTATCACCTTTAACATCCTTTTTGGTCATGCTCCAAATTTCAAACCTTTCCAAATAATCTTCAAAAGCTTCAGAAGTTGAATGAATATCTAACTGTTCCAACGCAGGCTCCATCGCGACGCCAATATGATAAATAGAAGTAACTGAATTATAGTATGAACTAAGAATCCCAGGGATAACGAAAATGAATCAAGAAGTACTACATAAGCACTAACGAATGTACTGTATTTAGAATTCGAAATCAAACATTCAACAAGTACAAAAGAGTCATTAGTTCATTCAAACACCACAATTATCTGCCTGCTTGTAGTAGAAATAAAGGACATCACACATTAGGAAGAATAGTACAATTTTATACACTAGAGAGTCGGAATCTGAAAGTGAGGGTTAGAAGCATAAGGGCATAACTATTAATCAATGAATAATGAGAAAGGGTAAACCATGTGTTCGATCATTTGGTTATATTGATATTAATGATAATGGGAGTATTTATATTCATGATGGTTCTACATATTTGGCGGTCCATAACAAAGTGCCTCATTGGTGGGCGGAAGTTCAGGGAATAGTTAATGAAGCTGGGTTATGGATTATGGTTGGCAGGAGGTTAGAAATGTGAGTCCATATATTGCTTTGTATAGAAATATTAGGTTGTTCTTTAGCCGACGATACCATCAAGCTTCTAAGGAGAGGTGCTTACACCATCTGTGTAGTTGAGAGTGGAGTCACATCCTGAACGGCTACCGTGAGAACTTAGCATATCAAGAATGTTGGACGGTAAGTTGAGTCCAACATTTATTCAACGTAATATAAACGTTAATTAATGACAAACAATGCACAGTGTGAAACCTGACTGAATAAGTGTATAAAGTTGAGTTCTAATTGTTAAATTAATGAAAGCTCTACCAAAAAGTATTGTTAACTTTGAGTGAAGAGATAATGATAGAAAAAAGTAAAAACTATGTGAAAATTTGCAATCTTGATTAAGGGCGAAATGCATAAAACTTGGGATTCAAAATGACCTTACATCTATGAGGCAACAGTCAGTAGACAATGGGTTTAAACTCGTCGAAAGATCATGTCATGAGCATTCTGTTTCATGCGATACGAAATATTTACCCCCCCTCCACAAAATCCACCACCGACTGTCCCTTTAGAACGTAATCTCGGGTTTATAACCACAGAGAGACACGACAACAGTTCAAATTATACCGGCAATCCAACCAATAAAAATGCATCCATCGACGTTATGAGAGGATAACTTGACCCACTCACCACAAAGTTGTTCCTAACACTTTAAAACGTACGCACCCTTGAGTCCAAAATTTCGCTGTGCCTCCCTCAGGGTTAAGCTCCACGAAGAGGCTTGGCATACATATTCATCCATGGATTGTCATCTCCCGGTTCAACTATCTGGAGCTTATACATATCTCGTAGCTTAACTATTGTTAAAATTGTTAAATATTATAATCTTATTCCTACACCACTTGCTATCTTCTTTTATTCTTGCCATCAGGTTTATTCACACTATATGCATTTACAATCAATTAACTTATTTCTTTATTTGGTTATTGAAACTACCGTCTTAGCAAACCGAATTTTCGATTCATTATTACAAACAAGTGACCTCCTGCCTGGTGATGTGAAAGATAATGATATCCAGAAACCTTACTATCCTGAGACAAACTCACGCACTCGGATTAGATTATATATAAACCAATAAATAACACCGAAATTGACTAGAATTAGTGCGATCAAGTGGTTAGACCAACACCTATTAGGGATTACGAAAGGCCTGAAACCGTACCAAGACAAGAAAAAAACTTTAAAATCAAGTCAATCCATTAAAGCTCATGACAAAGATATTGGTTATATATTGGATATGGATTCTTCTAATGGTCCTTCCATATTCATTTGTAATAACCTGACTACTCCGGTCTGTTTAAACTACAAGGTTGCCTGTGCTATGTTAGGTACTTCTAATGATAGTCAAGCCGAGGCTTCCCTTGAATCACGCCTTAACAAGCTCGATGAGGTTGAGCGAAAGATAAGCCTAATTATTCAGCACGCTGGTAGTGCTCTCGAAGAACTTTCAAAAGATAAACCAACGGTAAAACAAGTCGAAAGTTGCACACATAACTTCCGAACAGTTATTAAGGAAGTAGAGACGGAAATGAATTCACACATCAACTACCTATCACATATTTCCGCGGGATTACCGTATGAAGGATGCACTTACGATAAAGCAATTGACCTCTACCAGACACTTGACCGACTAGTTGCCGCCAAACGTCGTCTAGATTCCTGCTTGTAAAAGTCTTAAATAAAATTTTGTCACAAATAATTTCACTTTTTGCACTGGTCTCATGTTCATAATCATACTTCTTCCCGTTTTTAAACGACTTATAGGTTGCATAAAATGGAGTCAGACCCAGCAGTGACGAGTACTGTTTGCGAAGGTGTGTTACACCCAGAGAACAAACTGAACGTTCCTACTGATAGCCATAATGCAATTAAAAAGCATAATATCTTTTCGGACGACGGCCTAACCACTCAAAAGGCACCGTGGAGTGCTTTAAATGATGCAGAGACGGCGTCTAGTGTAGGCGAGTCGTCAAGGCGGAACAGCAAATACGATGATACTATGCCTGTTCATTCCGCCTGTTCCGAGTTCGAAATCCCAGAAATGGAGTTTGATGAATTTGAGTTGGAATTAGCGGCCGAAAAAGGTGTGTAAGTTTTTTAAACTTGTTCGTCATGTTCTCGGAAGCTTTCGAATTCAAGTGGTTTTTAAAATTGTTTATGATTACTAATTCTGTCACCGACCTTTGGTTTTATTCTACTTCCACTTCTTAGTTTTTTTACTGGTCGTTAACCACGTAGTTAAGTGCTAGTCAAACTATTGGGGAGAGATGCGTCATCCTGCTTCGGTTTGGGCGCCTAGGCAGTATTCCAGCCCTCACACCAACCGAATCATTTGTGTGGCGTATATATATATATATATATATATATATATATATATATATATATGGCATCTCCTCGTGTCAGTGTTTATGCGTCTAAATAAACGTTCGCTTTCAGACTAGGTAACCGGGATGGTATCTGAAACTGGCTAGCACTGACTATATGGCTTATTCACACCAAATGGAGGTTTGGATAGAAGGTTGGGATCTGTCTTTCTAACTCTGGGCAAGCATTAGAGCCTCTTAAAACTTCAAAACAGTGGGAAAATAACCATTTGGACTGCTAGGTTTCCCCCAGGAATCTTTTAGAATGATCATCCGGGGTTATGAATAAATTATTGTAATACTATTTATTTTATTTATTTGAACACATGAATATTGGTACAAGATGGTACCAAATAGATATGCGCCACTTAAATGATTCGATTTGTATAAGGGCTGGGATACTGCACGGGTGTCCAAACAGAAGCAGGCGGTTTTATTAAGAGGCCACACCCGGAGCCTTGGACCTAAAGGTCTAATCCACAAGGCAGTGGAGCAACGTCCGTAGATGCAGTCACATGGTTGTCGGTGACCAGTAATTGGTTCATACGCCATTTGTTCCCTCAGGATCCTGGAGCTCATGTGCATCATTGGTTTGTAATCAGGGTTTTCCAACTATCCTCGGTGGACCCTCCATATCTACCAAACCCGGTTAAAGCGCCGGACATTAGCTTTTCATCCTCTCAATTTCGTAAACAACACCCCCACCACGAGAAGGTAGTGAGTAGGACTTCCCTGACAGTGGTTGTATGCACGTGGCCACTTGAGAGCGTTTCGAGAGGGAGAGTTGACTCTCCCTACTCTCAGTCATACCATGGTATTTGAAGGCATTTTAATACTAACTGCGATCTAGTGCGATTCTGTCTGAGTGCTTTCATTTACTGGCCTCAGTCTATGAAAAAGGATAAAATTCCCCTTTTGATAACCACAGTGGAATCAATCTGTTGACTATAATCTCCAAAATGTTGGCTTTCGTCATCATCTAAATACTTAAATGCTATTTTGCGTCTAGTTAGCGCTTCAGAACATACGTCACACATCTCACGTACCTCATTTAATGATTCATGGTTCCTACTATTGACTTTCTATCTTTGTTTATTACCTTAAGATATTCCTCACCCGTTTGTTCTGTTATGCGCGAGCAGTTGTTGGCAGACATTTTAGACCAAATGCAAATTCTTAATTAAATTTATACTAGATGTAAACACCACACTCGTAAAATATTATGCAGATTATATGTTCGATCCAGTTGTCTACCAAATTTGTTCATTATATTTTTATTATCAGAAGGGGTTTTTTGTGGATGTTATAGTAATTTAATACTTAAGTTCGTGAGCTAATGAGAGCCCAAAGGTGAGGTATAATAGATTGAAAGATCAAGTGAATCTTTCAAGGAGAAGAGTAATGTCCAAAATGTCATGATTAGCTATTTGGTATTGACATTAAAGCTGTACCACATAAGTACATTTCATTGTATAAAAAATGAAGTATTAAAAAATATGAATTTCCAAACATAAAAGTATACAGTAATTTGGTTTGAAACTTAAATAGTGTCACTGTGTATGTTCTGCTGTCTCAGATCTGTGTATTTATGTTTAGAATCTATGCAGCTGGTGCCTGTACATGACGGTGCTGTTGAACTATGACCTAAAATTAAAGTTGTAAGATTTTACTAATTGTTCAGTCACCGGTATTGTATTAAGTTAGAGGTTTCTATTAAGTTAGTGATTTTTCAGTTCTATGAGTTGTAGACTCCCTAAAGTATATTTTTTATCTAAACTAAATCTAACTAAATTGTAATTTGTAAACACATTCTAGGTAAAGGCCATATAAAAAACGCATGTAAGTGGCAAATGAGGATTATTACTGACTACCGTTATCCCTCAGCTTAATCGCTCTCGATACAACATTCAAAATCATTGATATATTACTGAAACCTGATTTCAAGCAAATGAAATTGGTTGAATATGTACTTTGGACCTTGTATGCATTTTGCTCTTCAGTAGACTTACTTTTACTGCCAAAAAGTTGTGTCAATTTAGTTTGATAAGCTAACTACTGAGTCCTACAACCCTATATTACATCAAGATGTCAGTTTACCAGAAATCGTAGGTCAATATTAGTATACTTATATGAAACAAAAAAAGGAAAATTAGACTATTCGTGACTAGCTGGTTAAAATTGCTTTTATCTTATGATAGCGTTCATCACAAAAACATGTTAGAAAATTAAGTGTAATTGGCGCACCCCAACCATTTTAATAAATAGGAAAGGATTGTTTAACAAAATGTTTCATTTCAAGATGAAGAAACTTTCAGAAGAGGTCTGTGTAACGCATGTAGCCTTCTGTGAATACTTTAGACAATAATAGTGTGCAAAGCGTTTTCTGCTTTCATATTGAAGAGATTGTACCAAAGAGTAAAAATAGAGACTGTTGACGGACGGATAGAGTATCGTTCGAATCTTGGATAACTGGTCACTTTACCTTTTAATTGTGGTTCAACATTAAAGATGCTACTGGAAGCTGTTCTAAACACTGCTACAGTTAACATGGCTTAAGAAGCTGGTTGCGTGCCACTGAACCTCAGCAAATTAGTTGGGTTTATTTGGTACATTATTACGTATGTTGTTGCTATGTTATATATCATGTAGAAAAATTCAAATTTACTTATTGTGGGTCGTTTTTGTAGAATGTTGTTATCTAACCTACAAACATGTGATTGTCTCTCCTTATAAGAATAGATTAGCTCATAATCAATGGTAATCGTTTGATTATATAAAGACTAATCACATATACTATCGGAAACACAAATTCTTTTCTACACAGAGTTTTTGTACACACATTCTTTCTCTGTTTGATACAGAGTTTTCGTCCGATGAACATTTGTTTGAATCTGGTCGTATGACACCAGATGGGTTAATCGACGAAGACTTTGAACGTGAACTTGGATGCGCAGCTAAGGCAAGTAGTTCAGTTGTAGTTTTCACCCTTAATAAATTTAGTTTTGTTACGTTTCGTTCCCATTCTTTCCATAAACGTTTATCTATAGCTATCGTTAGTATATATTTAAATCAATTACTGACTCATTTTATGCTTATGAATATTCCTTGCTGGCAGCGTCCTTTTTTACATATCTTCGTGACTGTTTCAAATAAAAAGTAAGTTATCCGTTTCATTGCTTACTTGGGTTTCATACGATAGTTTCTTACATATGACTACTTTTTTTATTGTGGTCCAGTAGCATAGAAAGGTAACTTTCAGTTATAGGGTAGTGAATTTCATCCTCCAAACCACGTGTTTTGGCTAAAATGAAATAACTCTACTGCTTGATTACAATTTCAATCCAGTACTCATTTCTTGTTCTTAAACTCGTGCCATTTATTGAGACACTACTTTTTTCTACGTTTTACGATTTCGTCCTTGGTTAGAATGTATCAAAAATTAATTTCACCTTAATAATCATTCACCAATGTTTTTTGCTTATAAGTTTTGGTTATGTACGGTTTCAACTGAATAGGAGTGATTTATTCATGTGTAGTATTAAATTGTGCTTATTAATTAAAATGTATTTGACTTCCCTAAATTGAACATAGTATTGTGATTAGCACAGCTTATATTTTGTTTTAGCTCGCATTACCATTGTAGTTTTATAAATATCTGCAATATGTTTTTACCTACTCATTGGCTTTTTGCCGTTACTTAACGTTGTGATCCATGGACTTGGGCACCACTTGATTTATATTTAATAATAAGTCATTTGGATTGTGCCTTATCTACAATTTGGGCAATTATCCTGTTGTCACTAGTTTGCACACGGTATATTTCGGCCCATAGTTTAGTGAATCTGTGACGTTCGACTTCCAAATATCAGACCACGGGTTTGAGTCCGGCTTTATCTACTTTGATTTGGGAAACTGAGTAGTAGTGCGGTGTGTGTTATTTATACGGACATGTATTATAAGTATGTGTTAAGTATGGGAAGTAGAACTCTTACTGAAAAAGGAGGAAAATGGTGAGAAGAGAGAAAAAAACTGAAAGCAATGAAAATAACAACAGGAACGAACGAACTATTTATTTATTTATTTAGTTGAACACATAAATATTGGTACAGGGGGGCACCAAATATATATGCGCCACACAAAACAATGATAATTTGAAGAGAAGGAGAAAAGAGAAAAAAAAGTAATGAACGTGGGGAATTATAAAAAAAGGGAGAGAGAGAGAACAATGGTGGGGAAACGGAAAGGTACAATCAGAAGAGATCTTTCAGTTAAGGAAGATACAACCACTTTTTATGAAGAAAGTAAAAGAAGGTTACAGCACGATCGCCACTGGCTTCTATTCTGAGCCATATCTGATAACGTCTCTAGCCACTGCGTTACACCGTCTCTCGGACCCCAACCAGGGAGTCGTGAAGGACCAACAGAAGCTAGCCCTTTGCAGCTTTCTTTCGTACCACGACACCATGTCATATACTGACCACCTCTCCGCTTTTTCCAACCAGTCCCAGAGTCGGCAAATAATGCACGACGTGGAATTCTCTGGGACGACATTCGTAGAACATGTCCAAGCCACCGAAGTCGGTGTTTCAAGATGGTGACACCAATTTCATTATCGTCTCTGTGACCGAACACTCGATGCCGAACCTCTGCATTACTGACATGGTGTTGCCACTGGATGCCAGCAATCCTTCGGAGACAACGATGATCGAACACAGAGAGTCGTCTAGCATCCTCAACTCGGAGAGGCCAGGTTTCACAAGCATAGAGCAAAACTGCTCTCACCGTCGCGTTGTAGATCCGACCTTTGACAGCCAGACTAACATCATGAAGGCGCCAAAGATGGCCCAGATTGGCATAAGCCGCTCTGGCTTTCACTATACGTGCATTGATCTCATCACTCACACCACCACCAGCACTTATGCAGCTACCTAGATACACAAACTTCTCGACTACTTCAATCTGCTCACCATCCAGAGTGAGTACAGGATTAGAATCCTGCCAGTCTTGTAGAAGAACTTTGCACTTCGAAGGTGCAAAGCACATACCATACCTACGGACACTGATTGCCAACTGATTAAGTGCGGATTGCATGGCTTGGGCATTCTCGCACAGTAAGACAATATCATCCGCATACTCAAGGTCGAGAAGTCTTTCTCCAGGCAACAGATCCACACCACCATTACTTAAATCCATCAGAGCTGTTTCCAGAATGTCATCGATGGTAAAGTTGAAGAGGAATGGTGAGATTGGGCAACCCTACCTAACTCCACTGCTTGAATGGAATAATGGAGAAAGGTGGTTGTATGCCCTCACTCTGCCTGAGGTGTTTGTGTATAGGGCTTTTAGGATGTTAATAAACTTCTCAGGCACACCCTTCTTCAATAGACAATCCCAGAGAACGGTCCTGTCCAACGAATCGAAGGCAGCCCTGATATCAAGAAACACTACGATTGTTGGCATTTGATAAGTATGGCGGTGTTTTAACACTTGGCGGAGGGTGAAGATATGATCATTACATCCTCGACCAGGACGAAACCCAGCCTGCTCCTCGCGAGTCAATCCTTCTCGGGTTCTGAACAACCTACGAAGTATGACGGAAGCCAATAGCTTGGACGCAATCGGAGGTAGACTTATCCCCCGATAGTTGTTACAGGAACGACGTGAACCCTTTTTAAAGATAGGGACAACTATCGACTCATTCCATAACGTTGGTACACTCTCTAGTTCCCAGATCTTTGTAAACAACGTCGTCAGTCCCTTAGTCAGAAAGTCACCACCATCTTTAAAAATAGCCGGAGGTAAGTCGTCTGGGCCCGGTGATTTGTAACGTTTCAAGAGTTGGAGTTCCTTGCGGACTTCCGCCTCATTTGGTGGATCAGTCGTCACCGGCCATGGAAGGCAGGACAGTCTGACCGATGTTGCCGGAGCAGCAGGCCAGTTGAACTGCCCTTCAAAGAATTCTGCCCATCGTCCAAGACGTCGATGGATGTTAGTGATTGGCGTTCCGTCATCCTCGCAGATTGTTTCGCTCACACCAGACTTCTTGCTGCCAGTGGCTCGGATGAGTTGGAAGAGCTTCCAGTAATTACCAGATGCAGCTGCTGCTTCCAACTCACTGGCACGCTCCGACCACCAGGCTTCTCGGTCCTTACGCAAGCTTTGCCCGATTTCATTACGTAACATCCTTCGTCTGTGGTCAAACTCACGGTCATCCGGAGTAGACCGACGGGCTTCAATCAGTTGTAAGGAACCAGAAGAAACCCAGTGCTTGTAAGCGGGACGTTTCGCGAACCCACAACAGACTTGACCCGCCATTTTCATGGCGTCATGCAATTGCAACCAATGCTCATCTATACTTTTCGGTGGAATGGTAGCTAGCCTAGAAGCTAGCTCGGTTCGGTACTTACTAGCGACAGGAGTTGCAGCCAGCTTGCTAACATCAATCCTTTGGTGGCGGTCACTTCGTTGTCCACTGAAAAGTAAGGTAAGATTGGCGCAGACCAGAGCATGATCGGATTCCAGATAGGTACTCCAAAAGGTGCGGCAGTCTTGTACACAACCGCGATGTGATCAATCTGAGTCCAGGCTTGAGATGCAGAAGGGGGACGCCAGGTGGCACATCGGCGATGGCTGTGCCGAAAGTTAGTGCTAGCCAGAAACAGGTTGTGGTCTGTGCATAGTTGCAGTAGACGTTCCCCGTTATCTGTCCTGCGACCAACGAGTCCCCATCGGCCACCTAAACGACTCTCTTCTGTGCCTAGACGCCCGACCTGAGCATTCAAGTCTCCAGCTAGTACTACAATATCTGTCGAACGCACTTTCTGGAGAACAGTTAGCTGATGGTAGAACTCGTCCTTGATTGCATCCGGGCTGAAATCTGTCGGGGCATAGGCGGAGATGACGAAAAGACATCGTTTCTCACGCCGATTTCTTCTCGCTTTGATGGAACTTTCTAATCTAACAGCACATAACCGACTGTTAATGGGGATCCAGTCGACTAGTGCTGCCTCAGCTCTTGCGCTTAGTGCGACACCAACGCTAGCAAGACCAGACGAAGATGCCACAGGGTCCCCGGATAAACGCACATAAAACAAGCTTTTTGAAGCGACAGATGGAAAGCGAACTTGTAGTACTTCACCAGAGTCTTGAATACGGGTCTCGGATAGACAACACACATCAATATTAAGACTTTCCAAAGACATAGCCAGCCCTATCTGTTGTCCGACCTGCATAAGTGTGCGAACGTTGAAGGCAGCCAGTTTGAATGGTGCACGTGGTTTCAGAAAAAACTGCTTCAGTACTCATATTCGGTAGTAACATACAATTTTCAACCAGGCAGTGACTCGAGAACGTTTAGATAAAGCTGAATTTTCACCATAGGCGAGCTGCTGTCTGAGTCGAAACGGATACAAAAAGTAGAAATAGGAGATAGTGAATAAATGACGTAGTAAATAATAATAATAATAATAATAATAATAATAATAATAATAATAATAATACCAGTCATTTCAATGTTAGTCGGAGAGAAACGAATATTTTCTATAAGCAGATAGTTCATCATAGTTTTAGTGTGTGGGCTGAGATACTGCCCGGGTGCCCAAACCGAAGCAGGTGGTTTTCTTAGGGGGCCACACCCCGAGCCTTTCACCTAAAGGTCTAGTCCACAAGGCAGTGGAGCATCGTGAGGAGATGCAGTCCCATGGAAGCCGGTGACCAAAAGTTGGTTCATACGCCATTTGTTCCTTCAGTATACTGGAGCCCATGTGCACCATAGAATTGGGATCCGGTTATAGCGCCAGACGTTCGCTTTTCGTCCTCTCATTTTCGTAAACAACACCCCCGCCACGAGAAGGCAGTGAGTAGGACTTCCCTGGCAGAGGCTGTATACGCGTGGCCGTGTGAGAGTATTTCGAGAGGGAGGGCGAACCCTCCCCACTCTCGGCCATACCAGGGCATGAA